TACCTTTTCCTGGATGGTGAGCATCTTCCTCTGGCGCTTATTTTTATTGTCAGAAGGCTTAGAAGAAGCAGCTCATTTAGGAGCCATCATAGGGTAAACTCTGTTTTATGGTCACACGTTAAATAAAGCCATAATATCTGGTCCCCATAGTTTAGGAATATACTTTTCACCTACCACTTATCACAAGGAGCCCTGGAAGTGCTGTTGGGTGAGGGTTGGACTGCTACCAAAAGGGCGGTGGTTCAGACCCACCAGCTACTCTGTGAGGAAAAGATGAGGCTGTCTGTCTCCTGTACCGATTGTCAGCCTCTAGTCTAATTCGAAACCCTTTAGAAGGCGGCGATGACTCGGAATCAACTCAATGACAGAGGACTTGGTGTTTTGGATCATTTTCACTGATTTACTCATAAGATTGACACATGTGCCTTGGTATCTGTGTCGAAACTCAAACCACTTGTAAATGTGACAAATGAATTTCATGCTAGTTGGCAACAGTGCTGGTACTAACAATTGTGATTGTTTCATAGGTTTACGTTCCTGCTTCGTACTGAACCCCTTGAACAAGCGGCTCTTCTAAGGAGAGTACCATCCTTACACTTCACGTCTACACCCTGTGACATCAGATTTTTAAAGGGCTCTTTGTGAACTAATGTCACTTTTCTAAGCATTTTACAAAAGGGTAACAAACTTATGTTTCTGAACTAATGCACGTAAGAAAAATCAGCCATGAAAAGTTGATGGCATCGAATAGGTTTTAAATTAATGGCGTGACCCCTTGTAATAACAATTGCGTAATAAGGAGATAAACACTGACTTCATGTTTGTTGAGTTTAAATGGTTATGTATTTTTTAAATTGTCGAGAAAATAAACAACTTTGTGCATTTGACATCTTGTTAACAGCTGTTTGTCTTCAGTATCTGAATGTGGAACTTAACCCTCACCAAAAACGGAAGTTGGCAAAAGAACCTGGGAGCACAAACACTTTTTTAAATGAATAACGGTAGCCTAAGACTTAATATTTTTATAAAGTATT